CCCCAAAACCCCAAAACCCCAAAACCCCAAAACCCCTAAAGCTATTATAAATTAAAACTATATCTAATTCAAATGGGTAAGAAGAACAAGGTGGTTCCTGCACCAGCAGAGGACATCAAGGAAGCGGAGGATAAGAAGATTGCTTTGTCCAACCAGAGCTCTCTGCCACCAATAGACTCTCACATGCAGGATAAAACATTTGAGACTAATGATAATATCCCTTTGAAGTTGAAAGGTTTACCTAAACCTGAAAATACTTCTAGTAAAATGGGCTCAAGTAAGAATTTTTAGACCTTTACTGTTAATCTAATAGACACTCTCTCTGAAATTAATGCTTTAGAGATGGAAATACAGAAAGAAATGAAAGATTCTGGTCAGAAGCAGATAATCAGCCCTGTCCCAGATGAGATTGTTCAACAAATCGTCTCTAGTAACAAGAAGGATGAAGTATTTACTAAAGAAGAGGCTAAAGCTACTTCTCCTAAGCTTACCCTTCTGAAGAGCTCTTCTGCAAATCAGCTCTATGAAGAGGATGAAAAGAAGCAAGGTATGTCTCATAAGTTACTTCATGAATACTTGAATGTATCTAAATTACTTAAATAGAGGTCTCAAATTTGATTGAGACAGGTAAAAATGCTGAATCTAAGAATGGCCCAAAATCCTTAGAGAATGATAATGATACCTATTCAGACTCTCCACAGTCAAAGCAGGAGTCCCAGGCCAGCGAAAGAGGAAAGGATAATTCAAAGATGAATATTTTAGAAGAAGAAAAGAATGAAAACCCTAATGCCATGAACCTCTTTAAGAAAGCCTTTATTGGCAAGATAGAAGCCTACACTGATAAGATCCAGAAAGCCAATAGTAAGGCAAAACAGCGGATCAAGAGGGAACCAATCTGGGCATGGGACGATGAGGAAGCTAAATCCGATACCATCAGAGATAATATTATCCGTATTCTGAGCATTACGTGGAACATGAATGCTAAGAAGCCTCAGATTGATTTAAATACTCTTCTAAGACCAGATATCAACCATGATATTATTGCAGTGGGATCTGAAGAATGCTTAAAGACTATTTTTAAATCAGCCTTTGGAGCAAACAAGATCAAATGGGTCAAAATGATCCAGAAATGTCTTGGTGATGAGTACAAGGTGGTCAGCTCACACTCCTTAATGGGCATTCACCTAGTAGTCTTCGCTTCCATTAGAGTAATCCCGATGATCAGCAATGTAAAAAGTAAGCATATTGCTACAGGTGTGTGGAACAGTATTGGTAACAAAGGAGGAGTCGGAATCTGTTTCGATATTGGACGAACCTCCTGCCTCTTCATCAACTGCCATCTCGCCTCTGGTGAGGAGGATCTCAAGGAAGAAAGACGGATGCGAGATTTTCACAAAATTGAGATGAAGCTTCGACTTCCTGATAAAAACAAGGTTAGTTTCCATTCCCCAGATCCTCAAGAAGACATAACCAGAGTCTCTAACAGGTTTGATTGCTGTATTTGGACAGGGGATTTTAACTTCAGGTTCAGGAGGAAGAACCTGAAAATCATAGATTTGATCAAAAACAATAAGTTTGATATTTTAAAAGAGAATGAATCATTGACTCTCCGGTTGAACGCAGAGAAGCTACTAACTGATTTCATTGAGGGACCAATTGAGTTTGCTCCGACCTACAAGATCCTTCACAACACTGACAAGTATAATAAATAAGAGAATCCCAGCTTGGTGTGACAGAATAATCTATAAATGCAAGAATGATTGTCTGTCCCAAGTGTCTTATGATAGTATAAATACTATTAAGAGTTCTGACCACCGTCCAGTTTTCTCCCAATTCGAGCTCAGAATTAAGTATGAACTTTATTTAAACTCTAGATGCGATGCTGAAGTGAAAAGAAAGACTGAAACATTTGACTCAGTTTATAAGTCAAATACTGAACGCAACACAGTGTATAAGATTCATAAAAAGAAGGAAAGAAATTTAGGCAAAAATCAATCAAAAGCTTGTGTTATCTTTTAAATTATTTGAAGAGTTTTAAGTATTAGATTTAAATTTTGTGCAAAAGTAAATTAGGATGTCAGAATTAGGTAATTTTAATGCAGAAATCTGTTTTGGAATTTAAATATAAACTAAATAAGGTATATTTAACAATTTAATTTGAAATTAATTTAATTTGTTGATTGGGATATATGGCTCTATTTTCTTAAATTAAGCCCCATCTTTTAATTTTGATAATAGAGAAATGATCTTTTTGTGTTCAAAATGCTCAAATGTACAAGAATTTTATCCTTTGAGCCTTTATAAATCATGAATTTTCAAACTGGAAGCTAATTTATAAATTAAAATAGTTCAATCGTCTGAAACTTTATCGGGGTTTTGGGGTTTTGGGGTTTTGGGGTTTTGGGGTTTTGGGGTTTTGGGGTTTTGGGG